CCACTCGGGTCTTCCCACTGTGTCATTCAGCAGGATGACTAATTATTATTGTTATTGTTGTATGAATGAGTTTTAATTGCCCTGGAATATATTCGTTTAATTACTGTACATTTAGGAGAATTTTTTAAAAGGTTAAAGATTCTGAACATAATTATTTGCCACTTACAGTAAACTGTATATATCTATATAAAATACAAACAGCCTTTGCTCCACTTATGCCAGCAAGATATTAAAAACCTGACACGGTCCACAAGTACCCGTGTTTGCATGCACACGAGCACAAAATTGAAAACTTCATCGAAACAGTTATATTTGCTGTACAAGTGCAAACTATCATCGGAGGGACCTACTTTTTATGCCATTCAAAAAGAACAGCCTCTGGGTGTTGAGAAGAAGTGTAATGTCATCTAGGTCTAATGTCAGATCTACTGATCTGCTGTTATAATCCATGAATCTGGAAGTGCCATTAATTGAATAGGCTGTCAGCACCATGTTTGGCAAGTACTTTACAGTATCTTGCCCAGTCATGTTCAGTTTATGACATTTGTTGAGGTGGGGTATAAGGATGACATGATGTTCATGATGTCAGAGCTTCTTGAGGATTTTTACTAGAAGTGTCACCCTGGAATCCTTTCAGTGTTTATTACCTAAACCATCTCTTTTTCCTATGATTAAATTTGTGTTTTGTTTCTTCCTCCATCATGCATTACTTTGTTTTTCACTAGTGTCTTACAAAGCCTGGGTGTTTTACACACACGCCAAAGACCTAGAAACAGTTTGGTAAAAGAGGCTTAACCGAACGTGCTGTAAAGTGAGACTTTGCTGGGGGTTGCTGATAGGTTGGACTGCAGCAGAGATTGATGAAGTTTCATGAAAGGCATTAGAAATCCCTGGCATTGACAGCATCACCTGAAACAATCTTACATGGTAAGAATAAAGTGATTCTTGATTGTAATCCCACAAAAGCATTCAGTAACGGTGTACTGTAACATGGTGAGATCCATCATCAAATGCACTTTTTTGGAATGCCCTTTGGATTGGGTGCCAGACAGATCTTAATTTTGTGTGATGCTAAACAGGTCAACCTTATTCAATAATGAGAGTGTCCAATATATCATTAAAATGACTGATATTCCTGTATTATGCCAAAACCCTAATCCCACTTTCTGGTTCCATTTAAAAAAAAAACCCAACGAGATCATTCAACATGTCTTTCTCAGATAATAATTTTAAGGAGAGCATCTTTAGTCAACACATCAAAGTACTCTGACAATGCTGTATACAGAAAAACTGCAATGTTACATAACATTTTTGAATTTATATTACTTTTGCTTAAATAAAATTAAGACAAATTACACAAGACATTATTATTTTATGCATAGATGGCATGTGTCTTCTTTTATTTTTTTCTCTTCAACTACAGTTTTTTATAACAAGCTTTAAATATTCCATCTATATTCTAGCTCCATTTGGTCTATAAATAGGAACTGCATAAAGTGCTGTCAGATTAGTAGGGATTTGCACAGGAAAAAAAAACCTTGAATGTGATTAATTTGATTTTGCTTGTGATTGGACAGGGGGCGTGGTGGAGTGGAGTCAGGGCCACATCGTTCTTGTGTCTTGGGTTCAATTCTAGAGTGAGTCAAATTCTGTGTGGAGTTTGCATATTCTCCCTGCGTTTCCTCTTGTCTTCCGAAAATGTACTGGCTAGGGTAATTGATGTCTTTAAATTGTCTCTCAAGATGTGTGCCTTGTGAGGAATTGGCGTCCCATTGAGGGTTTAGCTTTGCCTTGTACCATATGCATCTGGGATGAGCTGAGAGTTGAAATAAACAGCTGTCTGATAATGGGTGTGTGAAACGAATCACTTTTAGCATCATGCTCTGGGTTGTCAAACACATTTGCTACGGTAGGCCAGATTTAATTTAAACACGCTTCAAATGGGCCAAATTTACCATAAATTAACAGAAGTCTGGGCACAGCCATTTCATAGTGTCATTTACATTGTTCCACATTTTGGGCGTTAGCAGGTAAGCATATTCACTTGATACCTATTTAACAAACTGACTCCTTGTCTTCTGAATAAGGGGATGTTTGTTTAGCATTATTAACTGTGATTATTTAAAGTCCCTAGGAATAAAAACAACGAATAATTAAGTGTACTGAAAGGAATATGGAGTGTTTAGTCTAAATTTGAATGATCCTGCTTGAGAGGTGGAGGAGGGATGCAAAATTATGTACAGTATGCGAAGGAGGGAAGGGGATTATGTACAGTATTTACTGTATAGTGTTTAGGACAGGAAATGATGTCAGGAGTGATTGTTAATTACTGACAGTTAAATCTAATTGAACTTGGTTGTTGTTATCCATCCCGAACTTTCATTATAAACTCATATATCATAGGTGTCATTTTTGCACACTATGATAAATCTCTGTCTGCACATCTCATTCAATAACTGGTGAAAACTAGACACAGCAAATGTGTATATGCTTCATATATGTACAGTACATGCTCTGGGATTAGCGATCCGCATAACCTGAAAAATGTAATACACAGAATTTGTGTGCATTTAAATGAAAAGCAGCTTGCATTTTTTTATTTCTGCTAAACTGTTTTCTTTGTGTGCTGCTGTTTTTAACTGGAAAAGAATTTTAGCAATAGTTAAGGGACATCGTGTCACAAAAGCTACAAGGACACAAGTTGCTAGTAACGTGATGTAAAAACAGCAATGAATTCCCTTCTATTCGATAGATTCACAACTACTGCTCTTGCCCTTGGGCAAAAGCCACCTGTTGCGTACAAATCAAACTTGTCATCTTTCCATTCATTTCAACATAGTAACAGAATTTTCTCCACGTCTCTTGAAACAGACAGCATTATTTTCAAGATTATGCTTTTGTCATTGTCAGGAAAAAGAAATATGTTTTGTTTCAGTAAGACCAGTAGTTAGTGGAGTCGCTGACATTGCTCCAAGCTTTGTCTCACTGTTGTGCACTTTTGTTTGTTCAAGGAAGACTAGACTTGCGACATCATTAAACACAGGCTTTGAGGTTGCGCAGAAGTAGAGAGCCCTAACAACCCAGTATGTCATCACCTGACACAGCCTGAAGAATAGAGAATGAGCCTGTCTTACAATAATGTTTTATGTGATGTATGTAAATGTCCAATAGTGTGTTTGTACTGTAAATGTTGTGTTCATGGCATCTGCTTTGGCAACACGCTTAAGTCATCAGTCATGCCAATATACAGTAGCTCTTTGAATATGAAATTGAATGTGAATTTTAGAACCACAGGGACTGCTGTGCATGCGAGATTTAGCAACATCACCGATGGCGTCTGCAGACTCTGACATGGTGCCAGTTGCATCCTGGCTGAGGCTCGGACCTCACCTGCTACACGAGCCCAACAAATGAGCTTGGCGCGCCAGACCTGGCCCACAGGCTGTATGTTTTGGCATTGGTGATATAGCTAGTGAAAAGCAAGAATAATCCTGTCACAGAAGTATAAAGCAAGGATACACAGGTGGGAGCTGTCAAAAAGGCAGCAGGCTTAGCTGTTTTTCCCAGCTCAGGTTCTAATTAACAGGTTGGTACTGAGCTACATTTTCCTAACCCAGTCACAGCAGTAGTCTCCAATAGGAGTAGAGTGGGAACGGTCACTTAATGATTGAGTTTCATAGAATCCTTTCTTTGGTGGCACAATCAAGTAATGGGTCTTGAGAAACCACCTGACTCGACACTATTTAAGTTGTTAGCTTGGGCCTGTGCTGAGATGAGAAAATGTCGCCTTGGTCATATTAATTAGATTACCTTCCCTGAGGGATCTTGTCATGTGGCATACACAGTAATTGAAGTACTGTGTCAACCATGTTTATGGGTCTGTAAATGAGTACATGTCAGACATTATCAAGACATCTTTAGGGCAAATAATGTACAGTATGGGTACACTTCTCATGTATAAATCAGGCTTTGTTGTTTGTTTGTTCTTTATGGATATATATAATGCATCTCCTCAGTTTTGGTGAGATTTAGAAAGATGACACCAATCAGCCAGCGCTGATGTTACTTTTTTTTCCTTGAAAGATCCAGCTCCATATTGGCCATATCCAGGGAAACATAGTAAGTTCCAGAACTGATAGAGCTCCCATATTATTAAGAAAAACAGGTTTGTCGGAGAAGAATGGGAAAAAGATTAGGTCAAAGCTTGCCTATTATGTGGTCTTACGACAGGCCCTAGATAGACAGAAGTGAGGAATCCTTAGTTTGGCACAGCAGTAAACGGCTTTTCCTTATTTCACTGGAGGAAAGGTCTATAAGGAAGTCTTGTGCTTGTCCTGAAGATGTTTCTCGATATTTAATATAATAAACATTTACTGTAAAGTACGTGCAGGTATCCCCTATACTGTCTGAAGAACATTTGCATTTTTCTGATATTGGGTATTTGTGAAATCTTTATTCACATCTCTGATTCTGATTCTGTATGGCATTCTCTTTACTCTTCGTAAGACCCATTCTGTTTCTCTTTCTAGAGGATGATCAGTTCTGCTTTAAAAGATTCCAACACTCAAATAACACTAGCTCCCTTCAAGCCTTTTAGATTTTTTGAGTGGTCTTTTAATATTTTACCAGCTACTGTATATCTGACATCATTTGCTTGTCTGCCTCTTACTGTAGCTGTGGCAGCCTACACATCTCTATGATGTTCTAGGGAATGGCTTATAGTGTGCATTGACTGGAAACGTCTTCTCTCCTGTGTGCACTGAGACAACATCTCCCGTGTGCTATGCACGTGACTAATCTGGAGATTTTCAGGCACTGACGGTGAGGTGGAAACACATTTGGAAAATTTCATGTTAGACTTTGGCAAAAGTATTCTGGAAATATTTTATCAAGCTGAAAAACACCAACATTCTCAGTGGTTGGACTATTGAAAAAGTTGAAAGGGTTTTAAATGTACAATTATTGGATTTTCTTTTCCCTCTCTTTTTCTTGGAACACAGACTGCTTCTCATCCAAAGGTGAAGACAGGTTATTCAGGAGACTCTTCCGGCGCTACAACCAGTTCATAAGGCCAGTAGAAAATGTATCTGACCCAGTGACAGTGGAGTTCGAAGTATCCATTTCACAGCTGGTCAAAGTAGTAAGAACACATTTCTTACATACAAAATATATTGTAAACATGTTGCTTAATTATTATTCTAGTTTTAAATTGATAATGTGATTTATTGTAGTACATAAACTATGTACCTACAAGTGAAGAATGACAGTACAGTCATGGACATTATACAGTATAGTATAAAGCTAAAAAGTTATATAGCTCATAACATATCTTTTCAATTTAATTTGATATGATAACTTTTGTTATGTAAGGTTTTTGAGCAAAATTAAATGTGTATTACTAATTGACAATAATTATAGATAATATAATAGTCTGTAATGTTAATCCAAAAGATAAGGAAAGACCCTGAAAAAGACAATTTGTCTGCAACCAATCTTGTAGAATTACAGTTTGAAGTCTCCTTGCATAATTTTCTTTGCATATCATTTTTTGTTTTTTAGGATGAAGTAAATCAGATAATGGAAACCAACCTATGGCTGCGACATGTAAGTTCTATTGATCTGCATCAATGTGAGGCACTTTGATTTTAAATAAATCAATGGGTCTTTGAGGATGCTGTCTAACCTAATTAACATTACAGCGATCAGTGCCAATATGCAGCTTTGGGAAATTCATTATATAAGGAAGATTGTAAGTGGGTGCTGTCATACATCAACAAGAATCTTAAGTCCTAAGAGAAGATAAGCTAATCTTCTCTTAGGAGTTGAAACTCACAAAATAAACTCTTACCCTAGATACTATATTCATGTCCTCCTCAACCTTTTGAAAACGAGTTGCCTCACTTTTTGAGACATTGGTGTTTTTCTTGTCTGTGTTATTTATCTTTGTGCAGAATCGGTTTGCAGCCTGATTGCAATAACAAGACTTCTATTTAAAAACAGTTGCGTCAAACATTGTTGGAGAACGTTGCTGCGGGCAAAATTGGTATTTTCTGCTCTTGGTTCATTCTGGTTGTTTGCATCGCTTGTCCACAACTTTAGAGCAATGTCTGTTAAAACTACCGTTTTACAAAGTAAAAAAGAGACCAGAAAATTATGGATTTTACTGACGACCAAGAGGAAAGGCAAAGATGGCAAGTATTTACTAGTTGTTTCGAAGTGTCCAGGGAAGATTAAGTCTATCATTTAGATGATTTGCACAAAGTGTGTTTAAGTTTTAAGGGTACCTATTGATATGTAGAAGTAGGTCAGCTTAAGGTCTAGGCACACACTAAACAGTGCAGAAAACATTAGTATGCTATTCAAGGACAAAGTCAGGGTGGCAGTGGACATATGATTGTCATTTTTTTGACAGCTGCCTCCAAAAGATGTTTTCATACTTGTGATTTTGCTGATAAGCAGATCTCCTTAACAGCTCGGAGGGAAGAAAGATTTAAAGGTTTTTAACAGAGCATTGTGGAGGCAACTTTGCTTTAGTCCTGCATCTCAAAACTACGGATATAACACAAGGACTGCACAAGAACAGGTTAAATGGCAAAAAAATCCTTAAAAATTATGTGTTTCACTGAGGGCAGAATGTAACCACTAGGTGTCCATTATGAATGACATCAGAAATGCAAAATACCTTTGTGACAATTTCCCTTTATTGTTTATAATTTGGCATCATGCTGAAATAATGTTAAAAGAGATTCTTCCTAAAGGTGTTATATTAAAAAAAATGAAGCAATACTATATGTGACAGCAATAAGAAATGAGAGAACAATGTGTTCAGTGTTAATGATGAAGGTCAGTTTGTTTCTTGAAATATTGGTGTGGCTGTGCGTTTTCGAGACCTCTTTCAAACAGTAGTACCTGAATAGGGATAGTTGGGTAAATTAGTCCAATTAAGGCAATAATGAGGTGATTAAAGGCGTTAAGAGTTAAATTGTAATACAATCGTGCAGACACACTGGCACTGCAGGACCAGAGTGGGATCACCCTGAGGTAGGTCATTCTCAAAGTTCTCAAGGATGAAATTAGTGTCATTCAAATGGTGATTCAAAGACTTTGGGACTATTTCCAAGAGACTGAATGTGTTAGTGAAGGTTGAGACCAAGTTCTTACTTGATCAGGCATGGCAAAAAGCAGGCAGGGTCCTTACACAGATGCAAAACCCTTCAGGGCCTTCTGCAGTATGTGTTCAACCTTAGACCAGCTAATGGAAGTGCTATTTCAAAACATACACCCTTTAGAAAAGTTTCATGTTGAACACCTGTTTGCAGGTATAAGCAGGGTAAAGTTGTGAAAATACCTTATCAGTGGGTGTTCTCATTCAGTTTGCTAATGACACAGCCCTGGTCAGCTAGTTAAGGGACCCAGAAAACCCAGAGAGGGGTCACATGTGAGCTGAGTGCTATGCTGCCCCTTGGCCCTGGAGGAGGGTGGTGAAGGTCACGAGGTCAGCAGTGTCCCACTTATACATGGGGCAAACTACCAGGTGTGGCGTCAGTAGGAGGGGAATGGAACTGGAAAGGGGAGGGGTAGAGAAAAATACTTTAGGGGTCCTATAACGTTCTGGGCAGGGATGAGGGTAGCTGGGTTCCTCTGTAGTCCACAACCGAAGTGAAGCTGCCTGAGAGACAGCTTCAAAGTCTGTTTACTGTGTCTAAATAATTAACCTGTTTATGTTTGATGGGTTTATGCAGGAATGTCCAACTGAGTTTTACCAAGGGCCATTTCTGATTTAATGGCTTATTCCAGGCCCATAGTATTGATTCTATATACACATGGGCTAAAATGCATAAAGAATTTTCAAAGGTTACATATTTGCTTGGCCTCATCTTGGCCAACTTTTGCTGAGGCCATCTGACTATTTCAGTGAGACTAATGTGTGAATTTATGTAGGCAACCTTGTGAACAGAAGGTCATTGGTGCTGATCTTCCAGCCCTCTCCTCTATCTATCACTCATGTCAAGCCAAATCCATCGGATATGATCCTTCATACCCCTTGTTTAATAATTTCCAGTTACTCCCATCAGAATGCAGATACCGACTCCCCAAGTTGTCATTTATACCTGTAGCCATATCGTTACTTAACTATTTTACCTTCAGTGTAAATATGTACAGTATATTGTTGTTCCAGTTTTTTTTCTGTTTGAACACTGCTGCTATAAAACAACTTGTCCCCCCCGGGGATAATAAAGACTCAGTAAAGAATGTAAATGTTCATCATGCTCCCAAGATATTGGTAGCGATGTATTGATCACAAGCGAGAACAGCTGTTCACACAATGTATCCTCCCAAACATTGACACAACCTGTGCAGACTGAAGGCAGAGCAGTGGAAATGTGACAGGGAGTTGGCAGTAAAACTATTCAATACTGACAAAGTCCAACTTGGTCTTCAGTGCACAACTGCCTGATAGCTCAATCAGAATGGTTTAGAAAAAAAGAGATGAAGTTGGAATTGCTGTTTGGTGAAAATCTCAAAAGCAGTTTTCAGATTTTCAGCGCAGCTTGTTTGATTTTGCAGCACTTGGTAAAGCTGCATTCATTATATAGTCGGAACTGGTTTGGCACACAGAAATATGTGTGACAGATTTCCTGCTAACATTTGCTTTTCTCAAATACATACTTTTTACACCTTTACACCCTCATACATTTCTGTAATGACCTATTTTCAGCTTTGTAGTTTAACATTCATAGTCTTGAGATATTCCAGTATACAGTATCACAGTTAAATCCAAAATTGCATAGCTATTTCATGTCTGATTTTCTCCTTTAACTGTGCATGAGCAGTTATATTTCTTTTTCCAGTTCAAAGGACCATTCGAGCAATGTCCCACAGCTTAGTATACTGTACCTAGACAGTCACTAGATTGTTAGAGGTGCTATAGAAATACCTAAAATCACCTAAGATTCAGGCCTTTTTGTCGGTATGAACTTAATAAATTTCACAACCCATAGTCATAACATTTCCATTTTCAGGAATATTTCCATTTTCACTCTCAGTACTTTTGGATGTATAATACAGGGGAAGGTTTTCCAGTATCATTCACCTTTCATAGTTTTTTTGTGTCCTTTTACCACACAGGACTGGGCTCCATCAGCTGTTAAGACAACTGTCTTCTTCTCACTGTAGTGCCATGTTGTTGAAACCCATCTCAGACTCTTGCCATACAGTATGTTCATTCCTGTTGGGTTGCCATTTTGTAGGTGCGACATTCACAGATTTTTCTGTAATTTTAAGATCTGCTTCCACACCACAGAGGAAAAGTGGTAGCCGAGTTGCATCGGTAAAATCAAACCCATAATCTACAGAAAGACTAAATGCCACAAACGGAGATTGGTACAGTAGCTACAGTAGGTCATTCACGCTTTCAGCTACAGTGTTTTTGAAAAGACATGAGCAAGTCCCTGTATCTGAGACTTTGAGCTTACAATCTTTAACAAATGTCGCACGAGAAAACACCTTACGTGATTTGGCCGTTCATTTTGGAAATTGCCATAACTTGCCTTAACTGAGACAATGTTGTCTGTCACTGCTCATTAAACTTATCTTGCTGAATAGAAACATCCAATATTTTCCCACATACTGTATCTTGACCTTCCAATTCCCTGTACTTTTTTAATAATAAAACCAAAGTATGAACATTTACATCACCAAAATGCTTTCTTTACAAACTAAGCAAATGGGTTTTTTCTTTGTGATAAAAAAAGACTGTTTTCCATATGTGTTGTTCCAACAGCATAGGACAGGGCCCATGTATTTTAGTTTCATTTAAGGTCCAAGTCATTGAGTCCTAATCATATTGTAGTTTAAGAACATGCTTGGATGCACCAGCTGTCACGATTATAGTCCCCCCTCCTTAAGGGTGCTCCAGCCCTTTCACTTTAGACTTTATTCTGTGCACCTGATCCCTATTCCCAGCCCACCTTAAAAGCCAGGCGCTGACGCTCATCCGGGCTCTGCATCTGGTTTCCGTACCGTGCGAGTCCGGGACCTGGAAGCGCCTGGTCCCGTTAAGGTTTTAACCTCTGTTCCTGTTCCTAGTCCGCCGGTTCCGACCCGGTTCGTATTTTTAATTCTCTTGTTTGGATGGATCTCCTGGCTATGGACTTACTCTTGTGTTTTTGGATTCCCTCTATGGATTACTCTTGGATTGTTTGCCTCAGCCATGCCTCCCCCGTGCACCAGCGCACTTTGGACACGCCCCCTTGTTTTCAGCCCCGTATCCCTGCATGACGTTTTCCCAGTGTTTCCCCACTTCTTCGGATTGTGTCGTCCACATAGGGTCCGGAAAGAACTGTTCATTACACCAGCATGTACTGCATTATGATAATCAATTCTGGGAAAATAATGCATGTATGAGCTTCTCTGCTTTTTGACTGGGAGAGACGTGAGCGGTTATGAGCAATATCCGACGAAGATAAAAAGACATCTTGGCAATATTGCGAACATGAGCTTACTCTGGCCTGGGTACAAGGACAGATTTCATCACCATAATAGTCAAAGGGTGACAGCATGGCTTAAAAACAACAAAGAGGAGTGAAACGTTTATGTATGGTTAATTGGACTGAATACAGAATTTCATCCAATGAAAAGAAAATATTCGACATGTGGACATTTTGAGTAGCTGTAACTGTTACATTTTATCCTGTTTCATGCTGGATCTTGTCACTTGGTGCAACTGAGCAGAATTCAGCAGAAATATGTGTTACTAGATTAAAGAAGATTTAAAGAACTGAATCCCACTGATGTCTTTCATCATGTTTGATGGATATCTGTGTGTTTCCATATGCTCTCTAGTTCTCAAATGTGACCTGCTTTTCATAAGATTAATTAACTCCTTTTTATGGCACTGCATCATGAAGTGGTAGTTTCACAGATTATGACAGATCTCACTTTCAAACACTGTGATGACAAGCCCGGGGGATTAATACATCTTTGAGAAGGACAATCTGGCCTGAGAAGTCAAAGGTTGCAGTTCTCCTACTTTTTCTTAGGCAAATTCATCTTGTATTTCAAATTATTTATTATACGTCTAATAAAAGGAAAAAAAATGCATCCAGTGTAATTTGTTTTTGGGGGAATCCCACATACAGGTAACGACTGGAGTGTTTGATTAAAATGATTAAACCAGCAGGTGGTTGACATCTTTTCTGTATAAAATACCCTTCCCCTTTTTAACAATTATTTAGTCTTCATAGGCACCTATTGAGAAAATACATTGTTCATTAGGATTGGGGCCAGTGTAGGTGCAACTGGTTGATGGGTTATCTGTTTGTGTGGGGCTCGTATCCCTAGTTTGTAGTTGAGGGATGTCATTGTCTCCATGGCCGTTCTCTCAGCTAAATGATCACCTATCACAGTTTCAGTAGAGCGCACTGAATTATGTGGATACTCAGATTATATTTGAACAACTGTTGGAAATACAGTCTGCTTTTATCCAGTTTGAACTATACCAAGTTTATTATTTTAAGAGCTGATTACCACTCTTGATTAATTGCCTTTGTCACTCAGTCCATTTGTTTTGGTGTATTGTCTAAAATATAACATATCTTTTAGCATCTGTCTATAGAGTTTGCCGAGAGACAGGGTCATCACAGTCCCCTAATTAGGATACGACTGCATATACTGCTTTGGAAATCCCCATTATGACAACAGTGCTGATTCTGAGATTGCGTTTGAAAAGAGAATTCATATCATGTCCATAATAACATTGGTCGTTCAGATTGGAACCTTTTCTGCTTGTAACAAACTCACTGATGCCAGTGTTTTGATTATAAACTATTATTGATATGATTAAATTTCAATTATACTTAGCTTTTTCACATAGCAGTAAAACAAATGTATGCATATTGCTGAAAATGGTCACTTCTTTGTTTCAATAATATTCTTTATACGTTAGTTTGAATGATCTAATCTGGTTATTTCTTTCTGACTGTTAAGTGCACTTTCTATGAGAAAGTGTTGCTTTTTCAACATTTAAAAATGTATATTAAAAACAGATTTAGAAGAAATGATTACCAGCAGCATATCTGGGACATATTCTGCTTCTCGGATTGTAAGAGGCTCTCTCTCCTTTTTTCATCTTATTTTTGCTCTCTGATCTGAAAAAGCAACGTTCACTTTGCATGTTATGTTTCAAAGGAGAGTTAAGCCAGTTTGTGAAACCTGTGTATTTCAAACTGACAAGGTCACTAAGCTTATGCATAGATGTCGATGCATTCTATTTTAAAGCATGTTAGTCATCAACATTGTGGCTCAAATTGGTTTTAGCTTTGCTTGCCTGACATATGCACACAAAGTGCTTTCATTTCAAAAAGGCAGCTGTGATTGCATTAAAACATAATGTGCTGTATATGCAGCCGAGTCCATTTTCACACAGGGCAGTGTAAAAGTGTATTCTTTGTTCTGTTTACACATCCTCTGACATTTTCTTTCATTTATCTTTCATTCTGTTTAATCTCAGCCTTTGATGTTAATGACTTATAAAAAATGTTTCAATTATACCATCTATTGCAAAATTATGTAAAAGGTAGCACATGGATTGTGACATGAATCAACTTATGATTATACGTATAGTACATACTGATGCACAATCACAGCCTTCTGAAAATATAAATATACCATATCGTATATGTATTCACATGTATTCATATGTGTATCCATTATTGACATTACTTGTTCGAAGAAGTCCAACAAATCTGTCAGCTGAGATCTACCTTTTCTAAATCAATGGTGACTATTCCCTATGATATTACTTCCTTATAGGTGATCCTCTAGTTTTGATCTAGCAGTTGTTTCCTTAACTTTACATGTTATAGAACTCAGACTTTCAGTTTAGGCCTATTTGGACCAGTTTTGCCACTCTTCCCCAACACTGCTTGGTTGATATTTCCATCCATTGATTCTATCACCGTCTTTAGCTACTGTTGGAAGAGTTGCAAAATTGACTGTTATGTTAACTTAACATATGTTCAGATTCAAGACATTTAGACACCCTTTAAGAAACATCTTCACACATGATCTGTGATTCAGAGATACTGAGACCTGTACAGGTAATGATTTCGATCTTCACTCCTACTGTATGTGCATTCACCTTTGTGAATACAAACTTATTTTTAAAAATGTATTACGTGTCTGACAGAATAGTTCTTAAATGTGTCTTTTGTAGCCTTTTACTAAATCTCTATCAATGAGGCCCACTGAATTTAAAGACACTCAGGTATACTACTATTTTCTTCTGTTTTCAGATTTGGAATGACTACAAGTTAAAATGGATTCCTGCAGAATTTGACGGAATTGAATACATACGTGTTCCATCCAATAAAATATGGAGGCCTGATATTGTGCTTTACAATAAGTAAGTAAAGAGAATTTTAGAGGCTGATACAAAAAATGTATGAGCAGTAACAGACTGAGACTTATATTACACTAATCTTTTACACTAACTACATATTACACTAACCATTTTTTTTGGAGGATCACAATATTTAATGAGTTGCTTACACTTCACCTCTTCCAAATAACATTTTGTTTTGCTCCTCTCTTATCAGTGCTGTTGGAGACTTTCTTGTAGAAGACAAAACAAAGGCTTTGTTGAAATATGATGGGACAGTGACCTGGGTGCCGCCCGCCATTTTTAAAAGTTCTTGCCCCATGGACATCACTTATTTCCCCTTTGACTACCAAAACTGCTCCATGAAATTTGGCTCCTGGACATACGACAAAGCTAAAATCGATTTGGTCTTGATTGGCTCTAAAGTCAACCTGAAAGATTTCTGGGAAAGCGGGGAGTGGGAGATTATCGATGCCCCGGGCTACAAACATGACATCAAGTACAACTGCTGTGAGGAAATCTACCCAGACATAACGTACTCCTTTTACATCCGGAGGCTGCCTCTCTTCTACACCATCAACCTGATCATCCCCTGCCTCCTCATCTCTTTCCTCACAGTGCTGGTCTTCTATCTTCCCTCAGACTGTGGCGAGAAAGTCACCTTGTGCATTTCCGTTCTGCTCTCCTTGACTGTGTTCCTACTTGTCATCACAGAAACCATCCCCTCCACGTCTTTGGTAATCCCACTCATAGGTGAATATCTGCTGTTCACCATGATATTTGTCACTCTTTCGATTGTGATCACCGTCTTCGTCCTGAACGTCCACTACAGGACACCCATGACGCACACCATGCCAGTCTGGGTGCGTTCGATTTTCCTCGGCGTCCTGCCCAGGATAATGTTCATGAGACGACCCTTGGACCCGCAAACGCCAAAGGGCGGCTCTAAAAAGAGGAAAAACAGCGCATCTCAACAGGGGGCTATGAACTGCCTAGAATACGGAGAGAACAAACTGCCCAAAGATCAAAAGAAATGTCTGTGTCAGCATCCTAAAGAGCCCTCAGAGCCTGATACCAGTAAGCTGAGCCGACAGCTGAGCCCCCAGTCTATCAATACTGTGCTTGCGTTCTCTGTTGTCTCTCCAGAAATTAAACAGGCAATCGAAAGCGTCAAATACATTGCGGAGAACATGAGGAGCAGGAACAAAGCCAAAGAGGTAAGCTCTGTGCCGGCGCTGTTTTTACCTAACTGGCCTAATCGCTGCAATTGGTAAAATGATTTCTTTGAATGCACAGGTGAGAGTAAGAATTAAAAAAAAATGCCGCACACATTCCCTGTAATGCTTTTATTTGAAAATCAGCCTGGCAATGTTTGTGGAATAAATTTTGTTTGCCTGGAACTACTCCACAATACTTCAGTATATATAACGATTGCTATTTTAATGCAGTCCCATTTCCGTAAAACTGTTCCCTACCAATTTTTATAAGACCATTGCTGGTTTTCTGAAATTAGGGAAAATGTTTAAATCAGTATATCTAACCCAACACAGAGTAACTTACAGCTAAAAACTAGTAGGAATATTAAAAAAGCACCAGCTTTACTTTGGGTCTTTTTTTTAGTACGTTTTCTAAGCTAAATTGCAGTAATTGGCCAAACACCAGTGGCTTTAAATGATTTTTTCTCTCTTCCAAACCTCTTAAACACTTTATACTATCATAAAAAATCAAACATGAATAACTGTAGCTTTAACCATAAATGACACTTTAATGACGTTTTAGTGTGATAATGTTGTATCTAGATGAACTGTGAGTTCACTTTACAATGCAGCATCTAATGAGGGTACCAGAGAGAGATCTATCTTTGTGGATAAATAGGTCTGACAGTCTTCTGCAAGCTGTCTTTATGTGATATGGAAGTCATATGCTTTGACAGTATACTCTTAAGACTTAAAACTTGCTGATAACAGCTAAAACTTTGAGAAAAATCTACAAATGATAGGGTATCAGTCATACAGTTTCCACCCAGAGTACCTGTTACAGTGTACCTTTAAGAAAAAATAACATAGTATACAATATATATAATTTGTAATATTTGTGATTAAACTTCACATTTAAAAAGAAAAAAATTGGACTTTCAGGTATAAAATATTCACATTTTTTTGGAATTTTCCTCACAAGCAAAAGGCAGTGACTTAATGAGATTAGACATATTATTAACGAAATATTAAATCAGTCAGAATTTCAAACATTTGTGTGAGTCTGTCCTTTATTTTGTGAATGTCTTTTGTCACTCCTAGGCAATATTTTTCAGAAGTGTGACAAATCCAATTTATTCCTGGGATATGTCATTTTACACTGTTTCCTGTAGTCAGTACAGTATGTACCAATCTGTACAGTCTCCTGATGTGACAGTGGTTATTATCATCTGTCCTGTCTCAGATGTCCTGAGATTAGTGCCAAATTATACAGTACTTAACTGCATGAAAAACACAGCAAAAAATCTATCATCAGCAGAAAATAATTGTTTTCTAAATGTCTCTTACTAAATTGCCACAACCTCGTAGTCTGAAATAATAATTTCTAATGGGAATTCCATATGTAGAGAAGAGAAACAACCTTTCTGTTGTACATTTTACATTAATGGAATTAGAACATAGCTCCATTCAAGAGCTTTAAAATAGCACCAAATTTCATTGCCAGATTTTTTTTTTATAAAACGTTGGGACCAGGTACAGTAAATGACAAGTGGGGGTCAATTAACTTAATGGTCTGTAGCTCAAGGGTGATTTATTTGAATGTTTACACTGTAGCCTTTTCTCACCATAGCTCTAATAACTGTTTCATGTAATTCAAGGTGGACAGACAATGGGTGAAAGGTGGACACACCATGTATAGGATACCAGTGTATCACAGGGCACAGACACGCTTACAGAGAGATTAGAGATGCCAATTCCTAAACTGATTGTTTTTAGATTATGGAAGGAAACTAGAGCCATGTGATCACTTGAGATCATGCAAACTCTATGTAGAATGTGCGCCAAAGTGGACTCAAATCTAGGACCGAAAAACTGTGAAGGAGCAGAGCTCATTGACACTCCACAGTGACAGATGTTTTGGTTACTTATTTCATAAAAAGTGAGCCTGTTAGTTCCAGAATCCATAGGACAGCACCTAGCATTCGTGAGTCTTAATTCTAATTCATAATTAAGAAATTAGGAATATTTGAACATTTGGGATTACTCTGTGTAATTTGTTACCCATCAGGATAAAGCAAGGATTGGATTTAGGAATAGAGTTTTACTATTAAAATGCATTTTTCTGTGAAATTAAATTACAAAAGCCATAGTTTGTTCCGAGTAATGAAAAAGCATCACCTCACTCACTTTACGTACCCTACTTTATTTAAAAGCCTTTATATTTAAAATGTTGAGACTTCCCAAGACTGCTATAAAGCCATTATTATCTGCACAAAAAACACAGCCAAAGCTTGTAATCAAGGTTCCTGTTATCCAACTTACAGTTTCCCCTGTATCATTTATTGTTGTGCTGAAGAAGACGTACTCAAATCAGTAGTTCTCAGTCCTGGTCCTTAGGTTTCTGGGGGTTTTTTTCTTCCTGATGAGCTCTTAATTAGTGAGGCTGATTTATCCTTTTAATCGAACTCCTTGCATGATGAGACCTTTTTAATGTGTTTCTGCAATCGGTCTGTTGCGAAAATACTCTGCAGTTTGTTGCCGTGAAGGAATTCAGCAGAACCATTCACCCCTGAGCTTTCTTGTTAAGTGCTTGCTGTATTATTTCTAAATAAGCAGCTCTGCACAGTCCACACACCTAAATGAATGCAGAAATTGGTTCAGGGTTAGTAGCAATTATCTTGCTACTTGATCAGCTGTAAATCAATAAACCTAAATGATCGAGTGTAGAACAAAACCAGAGGAGAGGAAAAGCTGTTATGCCATGTACCATTTCTGTTTCACAAACACGTGCTGTTTCCCTTTCAGGTGGAAGACGACTGGAAGTATGTGGCCATGGTTATTGACAGGATTTTCCTTTGGGTATTTGTATTGGTCTGTGTTTTGGGAACACTGGGCTTGTTCCTCCAGCCTCTTATTGGCTTCTTTAAATAATTCGCCATTGTTTGTAGTACCAAACATTGCACGAGAACCACCGGATCAGTAAACCTGAATTTGTGTTGTACATTAAGTCACTTTAGAACATTTTAAAACAGATTTGTATATTGAGCTATTTTTCCCCTTGAACAGATTTGAAGCCTTTAAACTGCTTAGCAGTAAGATGCATTTTAGAATAAAAAGAAATACAAGAAAGAAAAAAACAGATTACTCAGGGTGTTTTATTCAAGAGAAGTCTTGCACTGTAGTACAGTTTGTCACTTTTCTTAAAGGAAAACCACCTTCATTGAAGAGCTGTTAGTAATCAGAAAACCTAAACTAAAGTGTTTTATTTAAAAAATACAAACGATTCTTGTTTGCTGGTTTTGTGATTCCCACTGTGGATGCAAGTTACACACATTTCTTTGGTGTCCAGTCTGTTATATCCAGCCTGGCCATTGTATTGGATTATTTTTCAAGCAAAACCTTTTGATGTATCTGATCCAGCATGAAATTAGCTATTAGTAAGAAGCATCTCATTTTGCACTGTTTAAACACATTTAGTGTTAGACTCAAGTTCATGTTACAGGAACATCAAGCTGGACACCCTGAAGCTAATTCAACAGCCACGATCTTTGTCTGTCATTATCTTGGCATCATCCATAAAAGGCTCTGTGCAAACTAATTTCCTTGCTGCAGAGAAATCTGAAATTTGAGGCCTAATTTGTATACTCATGACATCTTTGTTTTATTTTCTTTTAAACAATATATATAATTATATTTATTTCTTATTAGTGGCTATGCTGTTCTTAAAGGTACCTTATAGGACACTCAAAGATAAAATATAGAATTCATTTTAAGATTAAGATTCTTATTCTCTTATTTCTTATTTTGTTGGTAATTTTCTTCACATTCACAACTTCTCTCGCAATTTAGCTATACAATCTCAAAATATTTCATCAGTCTCATTCAAAACCCTATAGCATTCCGCTCCCCAGTTGTTTTTAAAATGGTTATTAATTACATTAATTAAATGAGTGTGTCTAGAAATATACAGTATCAAATACATTGATACTTCTAAATTGTGACCAAAAACATTTCTTTATGAAATGATGAAACCACATCATGTACAGCAAAACATGCAATACATATTCAAGATTTAACATTTTTGATTAGATATTCATTGATCTTTAATGAGAAGAATTTCCAATTAATAATGCTGGAACTGCAGATTTAAGTTTGTGAAATGTATAATGAACAAGCAGAGGTTAATTCCATTCTAAGAAGTGTAAAAAAAGAAGAATAAAATCATATTTTAGCTGTGGAGACTTCTGCAGGCAGGTGAAAGCATATTCATTCCCAGCAGAAGTCTTCTCATGCCTGAAAAAGGCTTTGCAGCCAAAATATTGTGTTATTTTATTCTCATGCTGATGAAGGTCCCTACTCTAATAAGCAGAAATATTTTCTCAGGAGACTGATTACTGTTTGCATTAGAGGAAAACAGCCACCCGACCAAACACTTACTGTAGCTGCATGTACTGTAGCAAAAAGCACAAAAAGTTCATGTTGCAACTGACATGATAGGTCATTTAAAAAAACTAATATTAATAATAGATTTTGGATCTTCCCAAAGAGCTTTTCACAGTGTAAATGTAGAAGTTTTGTAACCAAAAAGTTGTTGGTTCCAAGTGCAATCCTTGCGCCACAAAGTAAAAAAGGCACTTCAGCACAGCACAGTAATGTGTACTAAAACTCTCCATTTATGGCTCAGTAAAATTTTTATTGCCAGTGAAGGCAGAATTGTTTTTCACATTCACATTCAAAAACACATTTATGTTTTTCAGAGTGGAAGAATAACTCTGGAGTCTCAGGTGATGAATGCATGTACAATTCGAATACTGTAATTTGTTTCTAGACAACATTGCTCTAACTGGAGCCCTCCATTCACCCTATCACAGGAACAGCTCCTTTCCATGGTAGCCTCTCTGTTCTGTTTCTATTTTATTCTGGTTGGGTGGTTTGTCAAGAAACTAAAACCAGAAATGTTTAAGGGGAGTAAAGAGTGATTTGTAGTCCAAGTACATAAAATAAATTGTATACAAAGGCATTTCTGATCAAGGATAAAATATTTTTACTGGATATTAAATAGTACCTAAGAATTTGTTAAATACTACGGGGACATGGAGGCTGTCAGGAGAAAACAAAATTAATAACATTACATTTAACAATCTGATGTCTTTCTTACAAAACATAAAAACAGTTTGGATCACCAGATTTTTTGGATCTTTGACCTCAAGTCAGAGGCATGAGCCCTCGCCATAACATTTATTTGGGTAGCTCAACTGATTTTCAAGACTACTGTTCTCCCAGAAGAGACCACCGCAATCTTTATTATGGCAGTCCATGTTCTTGTATTTACTGAACAGACATGACTTCTAATTTTCTGTCTGTTTTCAGTGACACATTTTCCTTCTGATGTTCAACTCTGTTTGTTTTGAGATCAAGCGCTACATGAGAAAAAGCATTTTCACTATCCCTTCACATAATCACAAAAAAACTCTTATTGTAAGACAGTCATACAGAAACAAAGAAAGGTGAAGAATTGACCTCTTGTGATGTTTGCATATCAAGATCATATATTGTAAGTCACGAGCTCTCCTAGCTAGCTCCTAGCTAGCGTTTAGGAGGTAAATTCTCAAAGATAAGGTTTATATACTGGCATATTTGTTCTTGCATACTGTACAGTATATCCCATTTTATGTGATGTCACATCTTCCAGTTTAATAAAGAAATTATATGGCTCCTTTACAGTTCTTTTTAGAGTTCTCTTTTAGACTCCATTCCTCCAAATTACTTATCTGTGGGGTTGATTCCATGGGACTCTTTATTGTAAAAATATTTTTTCACACTTATCATTAATTGTTAGCCAAACTGCTGTTTATTACTACTTGTGTATTTAATAACTATTTAAGTGTTAGTTCTGTTGTGCAGTTAAAGCTTATCAGTGTCATTACACAGTTATTTTAATAAAAGTCTGTAATTGTACAATTGTAATTTTTTTCATATCAGTACATAATTCTCCCTTTTGTTTTATGTGTCTATGTGGAATATTTATCACATCAGGAAAGGCTGTCACAGAGTGCAATATATTCATTTTATTTATTTCTTAAGAAAATGGCCATATGAAAGTCTTGAGATCATATTTCTTGTCTGAATTTTAAATAAACACCTTAAAACTATCTGGAGAATTATTTTTTTTCCCAATATACAATTGTTCTACCTCACATCTTCTGTATCTACTGTACCTTTCTGTCTAATTAATTTTGCTATAAATTATCTAATGCTTCCATAAGTGTGAGAAGAAAACACACATTTACCCAAGGGTTGTACAGTATTTGAAACACAATTTCATTCTTATCTTTTGATAGATTAAATATCCCAAGGCCAGAGTAGCTCACAGATTTTCAAATAAGTTTTGGAAACAAGACATAAAAGTAATGTCTAAAGTACACAAGCAGCTGTAAAGAGTAATTAGAGAACATACTGTATAGTCATACCATCACAAACAGCTGTATCACCCTGCAACTCACACCTGGCAGCCCACTATAGCTCAGCAGGTGTGAGCCTGGTTAGTATCCGGATGGGAAACCTGGGAATGCTAAGGTTGCTGCTGGAAGAGGTGTTAGTGGGGCCAGCAGGGGGCACTTACCCTTGGTCCATGTGGGTCCTAATGCCCCAGTATAGTGACAGGAACACTATACTGAAAAAGGTGCTGTCCTTTGGCTGAGGTGTAAAACAGGTCCTGACTCTCTGTGGTCATTAAAAATCCCAGGGTGTTTCTCAAAAAGAGTAGGGGTGGAACTCCAGCATCCTGGGCAAATTTCCCCCTGTCCTTAACCAATCATGGCTTCCTAATAACCCCCATCACTCTGTTCTCCTCCCTGCTGATAGCTCACGTGTGGTGAGCATACTGGCACTTTGGCCAGTGGGTGGAAGGTGGACAAAAAATGCTCAAAGTGGAGGCCCATGACTAAAAGACTATCTCGACTGGAGCTGAGACTCTAAGCACAGACTTCAAACATCACACACCTTAAAAAATGTAAAAATCAATCAGATAAAAGGAGAACCCAGTTTAGCTAGCAGGGCTGTCATTCAGCACTGACTCCCCCAGTGACTAACACTACCCTTTCTTCCGCGATGTACATGATGGAATCATTAGTCTGAGGATGTGAGGAATGCATGTGCATATTGTACTGCCAATCAACTAATTTGCTACTTTAGAAAGACATCATGTACAGAACTCCTCGTGAATAAAACACTGTGCATTTTTACCCCTTTACTTATTTATATTGGGTCTTGTGAAGCCCCTCCTTTAAAAATAGTTTAATTCTTCTAAAAGGATTGATTTTTTCCAAAGACATACAGTATTTTTGTCACTTCCAGTCTAAGTGTTCTGAACAACTAGTCTTTTCAGTGAATTACTAACTGGCCTTCATTACAACTTTCCCCTGAATTATGTGACCAAGATTGTCAATTCATTTTATAAATGTATTAATTGATTTATTAAAGGCCCTGCCTGGGCCATAAGATGGCATTACAAGGGATGGAAACATGATAGCTGGAGAACTCTACACTAAACTCCATCTTCTCCAGTGACATAAATGACATACTGTATCGTAAGGTCCTGCTCTGCCATATGCTCAAGATATAAGCAGTACTGGCTATAGACTGCAGACATATACAGTATATAACCAAATTTTTTCAAAGAGCTAAATGGCCTCCTGTTACACATTGGTTTTATGGTAAATATGTCTGAAGTGAATTGATGGCATATCTCTGTCTTGACCGAAGCATTGCAACAGATTGCTAGGATATTCCAACCTGAAGTCTAGCCAATGCTGGATTTCACTCATCACTGGATAACTGTGGCATTACGTTTTGTGGAACAGAGAGTTTCTTGTTATAAATTTATGGTCGTATGACATGCCTTCATAAATACTGCACACATTCTTCACATGTGCCACTGATAAATAAATAAGGCCAAAATGTTGCATGTGGAATTCAATGCATCTGAGGAATACCAGACATGAATGTTTTCCTTTTATCTGTCTCCATATGAAAATGTGTTTGGCTGTAGCCCACTCAATCTGTGAAAAAAAACTTAGCAGGATGATAAGTTAATACATTTATCATATTTGTTGTACAGCTTTTTTGGGGGTTGAGGAGGGAGACTGTATGAGGAAGGTCTTAGTTGTTTTTGTGCAGACACCCCAGCTTACAGAAATTCAAAATTAGTGGAGCAGGTTGAAATGTATTATTTTGAAAGGTAAACTGACAAACAAATTTAAGCCAGTCAATGTTGTAATGACACCTAACACCATATTGTGAGAATTTTCTTTTTCTTTTTAGTTGACCTACAGTTTTCACTTCAGCTAGCAGGTCCTACTGTCCCCGAGTATCTTACTCTGCTCAGGCGTCAAACTGTAAGAGAGACAACTACAGCCTTTTAAAAACCTCTAAAACACTCAGTGATTATTCAGCAACCCTGTAGCTTGCTGGAAATTGGAATGGGTTTTACATTTATTTGCCTAGAACAAATTTCTTTGTGAGTAAAGGTTCATTTTTACTTATACGTTACACACTGGCCAGCAGCTACTGTATATCACCCTGCAGCTTTCAACTGGCTACCCATTGAAGCTAAGCAGGGTTGAGCCTGGTCAGTACCTGGATGAGAGACCTCCTGGGAAGCTGTGGTTGCTGCTGGAAGTGGTGTTAGTGGGACCAGCCGGAGGCGCCCACCCTGCGGTCTGTGTGGGTCCTAATGCCCCAGTATAGTGGTGGGGACACTATACTGTTGTCACGATATTAGTTCCCCCTCCTTAAGGGTGCTCCAGCCCTTTCACTCAAGACTTTATTCCATGCACCTGCTCCCTATTCCCTGCCCACCTTAAAAGCCAGGCGCTGACGCTCTTCCGGGCTCTGCATCTGATTTCCATATCGTGCGAGTCCGGGACCAGGAAGC